TGTAGCATTTATTTCAATGTTAATCTTTGGTGGTTTTTACTTTCTGCAGGTGAAAAGAAGTATGTTTATACAAATGCCAAAAAGCAGATGCTAATCTCTCTTGCTCCTCCAGTTTTAACTCTTCACTTAAAGAGGTTTCAGCAGGTAAGTTAGCAGGCCAATATATGTATTTAGTATTAGCTTAATGGGTATATATGCATATAGTACTTGTTTATCTTGAAAATATACTAACATTAGTTTTATTTCCTATGAAACTGGTTTGTTTTTTACCAGCATTTGGAAGGCACTGGTGTGCAGCATTGGGTTTTGTGGTCTTTGAGGAGCTGGGACATATTTTCCTAAAAAAATATTCCCTTAATTAACTGGAAAACACTGTTTTATGAGGTTATTCACAACATATTCCCTCGTTATCATTATTGCTTATTGTATTAAGCAGTAGCTTAGCATTAATTTTTTCCTATGGTTACAGCAGTTCATGGACTCTTCAGTAGGCATAGAAACCCTTACTAAGTTACAAATGAGTTGGAAGAATTGGAAAAGAGAGGATTCCAAACCTTGTGGGGGTAGGGGGGAAGAGGAAAGTAAAGCAACTTAAGCTTTATTTACAGACACTGAAGGAAAGTGGGTTACCTCTTTATTCCCAAGGTGTAGGAGATTTTTTTAATTCATTTTTCCAAAAGACTGTGTAATATGACGAAAATAACATTTTTCATCATCTTTTGTTTTTCCAGTTTGATACTGGACAATGATTTGATTAAGGTGGGAGTACATGTTACATCCATTTTGATGCTATAAGATCAGATCCTCAGGCATGTTACAGTATCTGAGAAGCAAGAGTTGTCCTCATAGTTACTAAGTACATTAGAGCTGATTCTTTTTCCACTTTTGCTACCATTAAGTTACTGTAAGAGTGAGCTGAAGAGCCATCTTAACTTGTGCTTCAGTGCAGGATGTGGGGACAAGGAGGTAATGATGGAAAATTGGGCATTGGGGAAAAAAAAAGTTGCTTTTTCCCTGTTTTGTGCAATGTAAAACTAATTTTGTATTGTTGAAACTTTACCTGAAACATTTAGTAACTAAGTATGATTTTAATATGCTCCATTTTAACATTATGGGGTTTTCCTCTACTTTGGCTGTTTAAGGCTGGATTTAATCTACAGAAGGTTAACAGGCATATCAAGTTTCCAGAAGTGATAGACTTGGCTCCTTTCTGTACAGCTAAATGTAAAGTAAGTGGGAAAACAATCAGATTCTCCTTTCCCATGTTCTAATGTGCTTTCACAATGAAGCTGCTTAGCAGAATCTTTGTAGAACGCTTGTCAAGCTTCTTATTTTGTGCGATATTAACATAACTTGTACTTGAGCTGGTGTACTTCTCTGATCATAGCTGTAGTGCTTGCATGAATCTGTAATGACCAGCTTCCATTTCATCAGCGAACAAATCAAAGAGTTTATGTTCTTCAAAACCTGGTACCTCACTGACTTAGCTAAACTTCTGCTTTTCTAGAATGTGGCTGAAGGGAGTACAAAGGTGTTGTACTCTCTCTATGGAGTTGTTGAACACAGTGGAACAATGAGGTCTGGGCACTACACTGCTTATGCTAAAATGAGAACTATGAACAACCACCTCTCTGATCTTGTCCTTCGAGGACAATCTCCTCAAGGTAAACAATTGGAAGTGTTTATAAATTATTTCTTATATAATCACAGAATGGTGTGGGTTGGAAGGGGTCTTAAACATCATCTACTTCCAAGCCCCCTGTTTTGGCAGGTAAGTTTTTGGAGAAGAGCAACAAAGCTGGTGAAAGGTCTTAGAGAGTTAAGTGCTGTGAGGAGCAGCTGAGGGAGCTGAGGACATTCAGCCTGGAGAAAACAAGGCTTAGGGGAGACCTTATTGCTGTCTACAACTACCTGAAAGGAGGTTGTAGCAAGGTTGAGGTCAGCCTCTTCCAGAAAACTAGTGAGAGGATGAGAGGAAATAGCCTCAGGCTGCACCAGGAGAAGAGGTTCAGGTTAGACATCAGAAAGAATTTCTTCACTGAACAGGTGGTTAAGCCTTGGAACAGACTGCCTACAAAAGTGGAGGAGTCACCATCCCTGAAAGTGGTCAAGAAATCACTGCATTCGGCACTTAGTGTGGTAGTCTAGTTGTTGGTGTGATAGTCTAGTTGACAAGGTCCAGTCCAGTCAAAGGTTGGACTCAAATCTTGGAGGTATTTTCCAGCCTTAAAGATTCTATGATTCTACTCTATGACTCTTAATGAAGAACAGTAATAGAATGGATGGCTTTAGTTCTAATAACCTTTACTCCTAAATCTTTTTTCACAGCTTTAGAAACTGAACCAGTCAAGGGGCAGTGGTTCCACATCAGTGATACTCACGTCCAACCTGTCTCTGCATCCAAAGTGCTGAGCTCACAAGCCTATCTTCTGTTCTACGAGCGGCTGCTGTAACTCATCCGAAGAGCCATCTTGTGCACGCAGCCCCACCTTCTTCAGGTGGCCTGAGAGAAGGCAGAGACTTGCAAATGATGTCGTTAACATGTTGGAGCTACTGTATACAACAGCAGGAAGTCACTTTATGCTTAGACACACTGACAAGTGGTTAACTTGTATTTTTTCCAGTGTTTTCACTACTTTTCAATAAAAGTTTTTTTCAGGAGTACAGCTTTGAGCTTCTAACGAGTAATTTGGGTGTTGACAAAGACAAGCAACTGCTCCTTTTTGTCTCCTGTAGCTCCTACAAATCTTGGCCAGCAGCTTTTTTCACTTTAAAGGGACCAACTATAATTTTGAACTATAGCTATCTTGGCCGTCATCTGTTCCATGTGTATTTTAGACCTGGGTTCCAACCATAAGCTGTTTCTTCCTACACATCTGAGAGCTGAGACAATTTCAGCATCAGCTCTCTTTCCACTGCTGGTTTATGTCCAACAGAGGAGCCATCAAGTTTGCAAACTCTCTAGGAATTCATTTACTGGTATTTTGGCAAGGCTAAGCGCTTGGCTCTCTCTCCCTTTCACTACAGGCAGTCCAGTGTAGCCCTTATGCACTGCAGGCATAAGAAAATTAGTCCTGCAGTGACTTGTAACTTAAAAGTTCTCTTCTCCACAGGTTAGGCTTCATGCTGGCTTTCATGTCCATAAAATCTTGGCTCCTCCACACTAGAGCAGCAGCTGCTTACATTCAGTTAATTTCTCACAACAACCTTACTAAGAAAATGGGCAGTCTTACGTGTTCTTTTGACCCTTGCAGCTATCAGCAGCTGACTACAGCAGTATGCCAATCCTTCTGAAAACTTGCTGAGTTTATTTTTCAACCACACCAGCAACTGACTATAAAGCAAGCATTAGTAGAGCTGTAGTATAGCAGCCTTATTTAGGCATAAGATGGTTATGGACTTGATTTAGCCTTCCACTCCTTTCTGGCTGTGAGATAGAGTAGCAGTGGCAAGAGTAATAAAAGGATTAATTATTGAAGTGGCTTGAATTTCAATGCAGTTCTCCTTTCAAGCTACTTTGAGACACACGAGTTGTTTTTTCCAAGAAGAATCTTAACAGGGGGCTTGAGTTGAAAGATTCCAGCACTGCACCATGCTAGCTAGTGCTGCTTGCCATTTATTTTTAAGGTCATTAGAATGTGATGCAGTTCACTGCCGTCAGGCTGCCGTTTTGAGAGCGTGGAGACTCTAAAAGGGTGAGGATATAGATGCATGTAACAAAAATGATTCATAGAATGGTTTGTATTGGAAAGGGCCTTAAAGCCCATCTAGTTCAGGGACACCTTCCACTACAGCAGGTTGCTCCAAGCCTCACTGAACCTGGCCTTGAACACTTGCAGGGATGGGGCAGCCACAGCTTCTCTGGGCAACCTGTGCCAGTGCCTCACTGCCCTTCTTCACCAGGGAAGAATTTCATCCATATATCTAATGTAAATTTCCCCTCTTTCAGTTTCAACCCATTACTCCTTGTGCTATCACTCCAGTTCCTAATGAAGAGTCCCTCTCCAGCTTCCCTGTAGGCCCATTCAGACACTAAGTAGGTGCTATGAGGTCTCCACACAACATTCACAGCCCCAACTTTCTCAGCCTGTCTCCATAGGGGAGGTGCTCTAGTCCCCTTATCAACTTGGTGACCCTCCTCTGGGCTTGCTCTAACAGTTCCTATGTACAGGGCACCAGAACTGTACAGTGTTCCAGGTGGGGTCTCATGAGAGGCTGGACTAGTACAAGTAGAGAGGCTACTCCTAGGCAGAGACCACAGAGCTGGTGCCACGCTTAACTATTTCAGTGTTCAATTTGATGGTTTACACTCAAGCATTGGCTAAGGAGCACAAAGAGCTGCAACAATTACAGATTACAAGCTCTCAGCAGCAGACTCATGGTGGGTCTGTCCCCTGCATGTTGCATCAGTTTTGCCTGTGACAATAATCAATATGTGATCTCCCTGTCTTTATCTCAGCCCCTGAGAAGTTCTGCCTCTCTCCTTGTCAGGAGAGGATGTCAGGTAGCCAGCCAAGGTTGGCCCATCACACCCACAACCATCCCTACATATTCACAGATTGCAAACAACCATGTCATGCTAAGTCCAAATGAAATGACAGTTACCTTTTTACAGTGAGTACATTTATTGAAGTCTTTTAAGTTCTGCACTCCATTAGACACTTCATAACTTAAAGGCAAGAGCAAAACATTGTGACAGGCTCCAACTGGGATATTACAAAAGCTCACACAGTCATGTCACTTAAGAAATATGGTTAAACTGTTCAATCATTTTGGTCTTCATCCCAGTCTTTCTTTCCTGATGGAGGTTTAGGGCCACCAGCTGGTTTTGCCATAATGATCTTGAAGAGAACAGAGAAGTAGAAAAAGCTAAGGTTAGAATCAGGCTCTTACTTACCCTTACAGCCACATGAGGCTGACCGTCAGCATTCACTAAATTCATGCAGTTTCCCTACTCTGAGCCCAAGCCAGTGAATATTATTAATTTTTTTTTCAAGAAGGCAGAAACTGAGCCCTGATACAATAAAACAAGGCCTTTTACCTCCTTTCTGCCTGAAACTTAAGACTTCAGTTAGGCTACAAAAGTGAGAGCTTAAATAAGCCGACAGGTGATTAGTTTACAACATGCACACTACAGAAAGCAGAATCATCAGAGCTGTTGTTTTGAATTACCGAGTCTAAATATCACTCTTTAAAACCATGAACTCCATTAGTCCTACCATGTTAAAGGCTCATCCTCTGCACTTGCTATAGTGACAAGCAAGATAAAACTCAGACTGCACTTGTCCTCGCTTCCATGAAAACTTGGGTTTAGGAATAAAATCCATTTGCAAAGGCACAGACAGAAGATGTAGCAATCAGCACGCAGATGACAGCAATGTTACGTGTCATCAATACACAACCTGCCATGTGCTTGTCAATGAACTCAAGCATGCACTCACACAGATACCTCTCTGCTAGAGAAACAGCTTACTGCACACTATTTTTCGGGCTCATCTTTCCAGTCATCCTTATCCCAATGTCCATCTTGCTTAGGGGCCTTTGGACCGCCTGCTGTTTTTGCCATAATAATCTACAGAAATTTTACATGCAAATACATTTTTGCTAAAGTTCCACAAAATAAAATTTTTATTTTTGACATCTATTTTTCCTAAAAATTGGATTTTTATGTAAGAATAGAGAAGGTTTCTTGTGGTAAATCTCCTTCCTATAGAAGTTAGGATAACTCTGGATATGTGTATCGACTGTCAAATCTTTAAAAAACACCCCAAACCAACAAACATTAATAGCACTGAATAGCTCCTGAGAAAACAGTTCTTTAACAAACAACTTCCTGGCTTTCAGAAATAAACAAACCACATTTTCAAATACCATTATTTTTATGCCTTGCATTCCCACAAGATGCATCTATTTGGCAGGACGGTTCTGCAAGGTTTCAAAATTCAACACCCAAATTACATGTAGGCTTACCTGATCAACCCTCAGGACAGTTACTGCTGCATTTGTAGCTAGCTTGATACCCCAGAATTTTCCGAGGTACGTGTCTAATACACCAGCTTCCAACATGTCCTTCACTGCAGCAGCTTCAGCCTACCAGACGGGGAAAAACATTATTCAGAACTGCCTCAGGTTTCTACACAGCAAGTTATTATCACTTTTCTGCTCTCATTTTCTCTCTTAA